TAAAAAAGAAAAAAAAAAAAAAACCCCTCCAAAAAAGTTTATTGGGGCCGGCAGGTGGTGTGGTAGTTATGAGCACTGGACTCCCACATGGCCAACCATAATTTACATCCCAGACCTGGTGACTTGTTTTCTCACTTTCCCTATCTTTCTGTCACTCTGTCCTTATCTGGTCAAATAAATAAATAAATAAATAGAATTCAGAAAGAATTTAAACAAAATAAAAGTGTATCAATAACTATGTCTGTGGACACTGGCAGATGGTGTAATGGTTACGTGTCTGGATTTCCAAGTGGTCAACCACAATTCCAGTCCTGGACCTGGAGGCTTAAACTCACTCTAGGTGTGTGTACCCAATATTCCAAGAGGAGAATGAAGGAGAAGGGAATGTGGCGTGGCCATATCCCCGGGAGGTGACTTCTTGCTTTTTGTCTCTCTGTCTCTTTCTGTCTGTCCAGTGAGCACATGCACCCTATAACAAAAATCTCTCTCTAAAACAAATAAAATAAAAAATAACTCTCTGTGTGAGTGTGTGTGTAATTACAAAGTGGTTGACAGTCCTCTTACGCAAAAATTTGATGAACTCCTATAATAGGACATGTGGTCAGAAAAGGTAGAAATTCGTATTATTCTCAGTGGATTTTCCCCTTCCCCCAGCTTTATTACCCTTCAGATATGGAAGGAGAAAAATCGATTTTTGTGCTATGTGGAAGATTTTTATTAATTGCAAAAGTTCAATTCAAGAATGTACTGACAGGAGTGGGGCACTGGTACACACACAGAAATAGCATGCGATTCTTTTCACATTAGTTTCACAGTCACCCACTTTAATTTGTCAGTTACATCATATATATCTCCATTGCCATAAAAATTTGACAGCCTTAGGCTAGCAGATTGCATAGTGGTTACCTCACTGGACTCACAAATGGCCTACCGTAGTTCAAGTCCTGAACCCAGTGGCTTGAAACTCACACCAGGTGCATGTGCACCCAAGATCCCAGGGGGAGAACAGAGGAAGGATTGTGGTGTGGCCACTCCCCCTGGAGGCGGGGGGTGATTTCGTACTTTCTCTCTCACTGTCTCTATCTCTTTCCGGCAAGTGCACGTGCCCTAAGACCAAAAAAAAAGCCTCTTAAAAAAAAGTGACAAACTTTTCCCTAGTGTCTACCATCATCTTTAAGAAAAGAGGCTCTAGTTTATAGACCAGAGAAGAACTTCTGTATAATAATGTATCAGCCAGTGTCTACTCGGAATAGCAGAAACCACTTGGCGTATTTCAAACAGAAGAAATTTATTACAGGAAACTAGTTTAAAAGATGCTATAAGAGTCAAAAGAGATAATAAGTTTATCCAAGTAACAGTGACCACGGAAAGCCACTACCATGAGTAAAGCTAGAGGACTGAAAGGGGAGAGAGTATCCAGAGCCCACAGCTTTAGGCCTCTTGTACTACCGAGCACCCCCTCATTCCCATCAGAGCACTCTCGGGCCTCCACTGCCACTGCTCTTTGGGCCACACTGAATGAACAGGAATCCAGAGCTCACACTGGCCAGTGGCCCCGCTGCCAGAGCCACTTGCCAGACACCAGAAGAAATAAAGTAACTCTATCCTCTTCCCAACCCCCAGTCACCTGCCAATACCTCTAGTTGACAAGGCCTGTCAGGAAGGCAACTGGCAAGGGAGTCCTGAGAAAGTCATTTAAAGGTTTTTCAGTCCACAAAGTGGAGAATAATATAGAAAATGGAAGGGACAGAACTAAGATCTCACTCTCCTCTAGCAACTAACTAAAGGATAATTCACATCTGCCTTCTAACAACCAAAGAAAAAGAATAATTAGTTCAAAAACCACAGTTGGTTTGTAATTGTCAGTTAATTAATGCCAGTTAATTATTTCGGTAATAGCTCTATTTTTTATTCCTCTAATGTATACCCAAACATGAGGGAAAAATACACATAGATATGTAATTTAGTGATATCAGTAAGATGAATATTAATATGTGTTATATTTATTTACATATACTCCTTCTTATATTAAGATAGGGTCAGAAATGGTATATTATATCCAGTTTTTATCTTGAGTTCTCAAGGCCATGCCAAAAACTTGGTGTATTATATAGTGTCAAAAATTTTACCCTACAAATAAAAATCCCTAATTTATTATGTAAACAACAAAGTACACTCAGAGAATGCTATAAAAATTTTCTTCCTCTTCCTCCACACCCCTGCTGCCATGCCTCCAGTGATCCCTGAGAAGTTCCAGCACATGGTGTGAGTACTCAATACCAACATGGATGGGTGGTGGAAAAGGGCCTTAGCCATCACCGCCATTAAAGGTATGTGGTGAAGCCATACTCATGTGGTGTGGAGGAAAGCAGACATAGAACTCACTAGCAGGCAGGAGAGCTCACCGAGGATGAGGGAGAATGTGTGATCACTATCATGCAGAATCCACACCAGTACAAGATCCAGACTGTTATTGAATGGAAGAAAGATGCAAAGGATAGAAAATACACGAGGTCCTGGCCAACAGTCTGGACAACAAACTGTGTGAAGACCTGGAGAGCCTGAGGAAGATTCAGGCCCATAGAGGGCTGCACCACTTCTGGGGCCTTGGGTCCAAGGCCAGCACACCAAGACAACTGGAAGTCGTGGTTATACCGTGGAAGTGTCCAAGAAGAAATAGGTCTGTAAGTCTTGTCTGTTAATAAATAGTTTCTATTCAACAAAAAAAAAAAAAAAAAAAAAAACCTTCCAATTAAATAGATCATAAAAATAATATATTTTCAAATGTGAAAACATAACTTTAGTAAGGACTTTAGCAAATTTCCTTTTTGGGCAGCTGGCAGGATATGACCTTTATTGAGCTTATCCACCAGAGTGGATACAGTGTCCGTACAAAACCAAATGCTTGTTACTAGAATTTCTGCATCACAATTAAAATCTAAACAGTTTTTTAAAACAGTCAACTCAGTCAAATTCCCTACTTCGGAATCAATAGCTTCTCTGAAGCCACAGTAACTATTAACTATGGTTATGACTCAATTGCAGAAATTCGATTGGTTGGAAAGCTAATTAAACTTCCAACTTGCTCAAATAGAATTACACAAAGGCAAAATTATATTTTTCACAGAGATTCAGTCCACTGGAATCAACAACACTAGACAGCTGTTAGGGTATTTAGAGTCCTGAGATAGTAAGGAATCCAGGCATCCTTCAGACAGTCTTCTGTTGTCCTTTCTTCCCAATCAAAGATGTGTGGATGTGTGGAATAATGCCACCACCAGCAATTGTAGCCTTGATGAGAGAGTCTAATTCCTCATCTCCACGAAGAGCAAGTTCCAAGTGACAAGAGGTAATACACTTTACCTTTAAGTCTTTTGTTGCATTTCCTGCCAGTTCAAGTACCTCTGCAATGAGGTGAGGTACTCCAGGATCATAGCGCTGTACATAGCTGTAGATGTGCCCACACCCACGGCTGGTGGTCCTAGATTTCAGGTGTCCATGAAGCCTGCTCTCTGGAAATGGGAAACCACCTTTGATTTGGCTTTTTCTGAGTCCTTCCCAGCCTTACTGCCAGCCATTTCTAATTCGACTAAAGTTCACAGAAGCAAGGCAGAAAAAGGGCTAGTGAGACACGCAGCGAGATACTACCAGCTACTCCAGCTCACCATGATACAAACTGCTGCAAATTTCTAACATTATCAATAAATGGTAGAACATTTTTTCCAACTTCTTGTGGACTGCTTAGTCTCTTATCCGAAAATGTTTTCAACTCTGACTAATATGTTATCTGGCATTATTCTTTATAAATAATTTTGGAAATAATATGTGTTTTCTTTTCTCTGTTTTACTTTTAGTAAAGGCCAAGAACAGCCATAATGAGGACTAATTTGGGAATAGCACTTCAAAAACTATGTAAAAAGTTTTTTTCATTGAATGTAGCTAGGAGTTAGAAAACATAAGGATGAGGACTCCTAGAAAGTGTCTTTGGGTCTTGGAAACTGAGAACATCAGTGAACTGCCAACTTCAGTGACATTGCAGACTGTGACAACAAGAATGAAGGATCAGAAATCAGAATTTGAATCCGGGACATGAACCACAGTCAGTCAGCGTCCTGTCCCTTAGCCACTATGATGGCTACTGCCTGCCCCCCCCCCTGGCATAATTTTTTTTTTCTTTTTTTTTTTTTTTGGAGAGATTTTCACTGTAGGGCGCGTGCGCTCGCCAGACAGACAGAGAGAGACATAGAGACAGAAAGCGAGAAATCACCCCCCAGGGGGGATGGTCACGCCGCAATCCCTTCTCCTCCATTCTCCTCTCGGGATCTTGGGCACGCACGCACACGCGCCCGGCGTGAGTTTTAAGCCACCGGGTCCGGGACACGAACTGCGGTCGACTACGTGGGAGTCCAGCGACATAGCCATTACGCTAACTGCTGGTTCCCACCCTGGCATAATTTTTAAGCCACTGGGTCTCAGACTCAAACCAGAGTCACCTGTATTGGACTCATCATCTTAACCTCCATACCACCTGCTGACCCTACACTGCTTTTATTTCTTGCAGCAATTAAATTTGATTATAAAAGATTTAAAAAGAAACAAGAAAGAAAGAAAGAAAGAAAGAAAGAAAGAAAGAAAGAAAGAAAGAAAGAAAGAAAGAAAGAAAGAAAGAAAGAAAGAAAGAAAGAAAGAAAAAGAAAGAAAAATACATGACTTTCTCGATGACTTAATACTTATCAGAAACTAACCTGCTAGGATTTTTTCAGAGCTTACCTAGCCTTGAAGAAGGGTAAACTCAACTCCATCCCATTCTAATCTTCCCAAAGGTGGGCAAGAGGGTACCAAGACTCACTTGTGAAGTTCACAGACCATGGTGCTGGTTCACTGAGATCTACTCACAGACTCTAAAATGCCCCCCACACCTTATCACACTAAAAGCCAGAGTTCCTTTTATCCATATATCATGTTCAGCTACCAAGAAAAATTACAAGACATGCTAAAAGGTAAAAATTAGTGTAAAGAGACAGATCAAACATTATAACCAGATAGAAATGTCATGGATGTTAGAATTAGCAGTCCAGAAATGTAAAACGACGGTAATTAAGATGCTAGGGATTCAGTAAACAGTATGTAAGCACAGATGGGCAGTATCAGCAGAGAGAGAGAAATTCTAAGAGAGAATAAAAAATAAATGCAAGAGACCGAAAATACTATAACAGAAATAAAGAGTGTCTTTAATAGGCTTATTTGTAGCCTGGACATAACTGAGAGAAAAAAAAGAAAAAAGAAAAAACTCTGAATTTGAGAATGTCTTAATAGAAATCACCAAAATTGAGAAACAAAAAGGGGGAAAAAAAGGTTTATAAAAATATAGTAAAATATACTACACCCCACTGGGGGATAAAAAAAATCCCTCTCTTTGTCTGACTGGCAAGTGCACACGCTGTCCAGCAAATAAAAGAAAAAAAAGTGAAAAAAAAAAACATAGTAAAATATTCAAGATCTGTGAAACAGCTACAGAAGTTGTAAGGTCTGTATAATGAGAATTCCAGAAGGAGAAGAAAGAGGGAAAGGAACACAGAAAAATTTGAAATAATAATGACTGAGAATTTCCCCCAAAACTAGTATCAGAAACCACAGATCCTATAAGCTCAGAGAACACTGAACAAGGTAATATATAATAAAACTACACTTTAGCATGTCATTTTCAAATGACAAAATATCAAAGGTAAAGAAAGAATCTGAATGCAACCAGAAGAAGAAAATGTCTTCTCTCTAGAGGAGCAAAGATAATAATTGCATCTGACTTCTGCCCAGAAACCATGCTATCAAGAATTATAGAGTGAAGTATGTATTTGTGTATTTACCTAAAGAGCACATGTGTGCTCCCAGAGATAAAGAGAGACAGTGAGAGGCAAAGTAAAAAATCACCCCCTGGGGGAATGGCCATGCCACACTCCCTCCTCCTCCACTCTCCTGCCAGGATCTTGGGAGTACACACACATGCACCCAGCATGATTTTCAAGCCACTAGGTCTGAGACTTGAACCATGGTCAGCCATGTGGGAGTCCAGTGATATAACCACTACACCATCTGCTGGCCCCTGAAAATGTTGCAAGGAAAAGACAAACAACTTAGAATTCTGTACCCTGAAAAAATTATCCCCAAGCCTGAAGAATAAATTACTCCTTCAGACAAACACAAATTGAGTGAATTTGTTGTCAGTAGACCTGCCTTGTAAGAAATGTTTGATGGGATTCTTTAGAGAGATGGGAAATAATAAGGGTCAGAAACACAGATCTACATAAAGAGAGGAGAATAAATAGATGAAGGTAAAAATAAGATGTTTATACTTAATAAAACTCAAAACTTTCCTACTAAGATCAGACACAAGGATGTCCCCTCTTCCCACTCCTTTTCAACAACCTGCTACAAGTACTATGCAATATAGTAAAACAAGAAAATGAAATAAAAAGTGTACAACTACAGATGAAATAAATAAAACTGCCTTTGTTCCCAGATGATATGATCATCTATATAGAAAACTTGAAAGAATGAACAAAAAACTTCTGAAACTAATAAACAATTACAGTAGGGTTGCAGGAAATGAGAGTAACAACAAAAAAATCAATTGCTTTCCTGTATACCAGTGGTAAAGAAATAGAATTTTACATTAAAAGCACAATACCATTTACATTAGCACCCAGTAAAATGAAATGGTTAGTTATAAATCTAACAAGATGTGCATAAGATCTATATGAGGAAAACTACAATAGTCTGATGAAAGAAATCAGAAAACTAAGAAGGGGGAGATATACTCTGTTCATGGATGGACTCTATATTGTCAGAATATCCCAACTTGATCTATAGATTAATGCAATTTTAATCAAAACCTCAGGAATACTCAACAAGATTTTTTTTAGCCAATGTAGGAAGTTACAGAGACAATGTTTATTAATATCTATCTTATTCAATACAGTTTCTCATATTCTTTTTCTAGAGAATAATAAGACATTTACATTCATGGAAAGACACTCGAAAAGTAGTGGTTGATAATATTGATTGTGGAATCAAAATGACTAGCTGTGTGATTATATGAAAGCATGCTCAGTTTCATCACAAAATGGTGACAAAATGATTTTGCATTTCCATAGGATTGCCGTGAAGATTATGTGAAGAATACATCAAGTATTTGGCAGGGAACTTGACACAGAGTAGACATAAAATTAGCTACAATATTATACCCTTATCATCAGTGTCAGGCAAAATCTAAAACGCAGTCCACTGCAACTCGCCTCTGCAGGAGAACTATATGCCCCTATATGACTACTTGTAAGGGCCCATTTCATTACACTTACGTTAAGACTGGTAACGGAGTCTGCGTACGCATCTGAATGACCAGCTACCACAAAAGTCATGCAGGAAAGAAGCAACCTCCTCACAAAAGAAGTTACTTTATTTTTTAAACCAAACAAACAATTCACTGAAAAAGTAATACTGTCTCTGGTAAACTTTGCTCCTTCCTGTCCAGAAGACATCAGACTAGTCTTTCTGTTAAGTGGTTCAATGATAAATTTATAACAAAATAATTATAATAAGGGCAACATAAATGAGAAGGGGTGTACCTACTCCAGAAAGGAACAAGAGCAAGAGAATGAGAGCTAGAGAGTAAATCAATTTAAAATGTCAAAACTGAGAAACAGAAGGAAAAGCAGCTCTGCTGAATGTAATCCAGATCCGTAAGTGCATTAAAGGACGGAGGAAAAAGATAAACCCCTCAATCAAGCGCAAATCATGCTCTAGCCTGGCAGATCCTTATAGTCCACTGATGTGTTTACAAGAAGTGTACGAGTCTGCGTTAGTTCCTAATTAGGTTAGGATGACTGCCAAAGAAAGTAGTAGTCGTTCTAAATGTAAGGTTATGGCTACAAATGGGTATCAAAAGCCTTGACACTTAAGTGGTAGTGACAATGGCTGCCAACTGAAGCTGCATAATTGGTCCCCCAAGGTTGAACCAGCAACTGCTATTTTGTTCTCCTGGAGCCTCCTTTCAAAGAACCACAGCACTGAGAAAACGGCACAATGTCGACTCATTAAATCCACTGAACTTGGGACGAAGGCAAAAAGTAATTATTTAAAAAGAAGTGTGGATTTTATTATGTTGTTCGTCCCCAGCATTCACCTGCTAAGAGTGTCTGTCTGTCCATGGATGGTGCTTTCTTTGCAAATCTCTAACGTCTATTCAGGAAGGAGAAAACTTTCCTTAATACAAAAGGCGAACAATTCTTTGTCCCACGTAAGTATGGGACATACTATTTTGTTTTCTCATTCTGAGAAACAAAATAATTGACTCAATTCTCCAAGTGAAGTTAAATTTTTCCTTTCAATTTACTTTGTTCTTGTTAACAGGTACATAAATAAGAAAAGACCATTGGAAATCGCTGTCAGCGGCGCCATCACCAGTGAAGGTGCAGACAGTTTTCTTGCAGATCGCAAATCTAAGTCCAATATGTCTTACAGTCCAACAAAATGTCATCAACGGGTTCAAAGAAGCCATGTTTACTCTGTACTGCCAAGGGGA